ATTCCTTTCTCCTCCCCTTACCCCAACCCCCTATAAAACCTCTCTCCACAGAGTTCTCTCTCTCTCGGCCACGGGGGCTTGCCGTTGCATCGGTGAGTGTGGCAGGGGAGCCAAACCTAGGTTTGAAATAAATGACTCTTTGCTTTTGCATCGGACTCGCTGGCTCCCTGGTGGACCCTTGGGAATCTTGAAATCTGGGCACAACAATTTACAGAGTTCTCATAGACTTTAGTCTTCACAACAATGCTGGGGATAATTAAGTCAGGAATTAGTGCCATCATTCTCAGATATGAAACCTGAGGCTTCAATGAAATGACTTGCTCAAGGTCTTGTTGCTAATCAGTGGCCATTTTAGTCCACATTACCAATTCCAGCCCCACTCCCCGCTTTGTCCCCTGATCTTCCCAACATCCCTCCAGTCTATCCACCCTCCAACACCCATACCCTCCCCTTCCCTATTCATGTAACATTCACAAAGCTCTTTAAGATTTAATCTTATTTTATCCTCAAAACAAACCTGTGAGGTAGGTAGGTCAAGCATCATTATACAATTTGGGAGATTAAGTGGGAAGTTATGGCTCAGACAAGTTAAGGGATTTTGTGAAGGTGTAAAAGCTAGTGTGGGCCTCTAGTTTCAGCTCTGACATGTAAAGGCCAGTAGGAAGCAAAACAGCTAACAAAGGTTACTCTGCTATTCCCCGTTTTCCCTAACCCTCTCATTCCTGGTGCAGTCTTCAAGGGCTCTGCTCTATGTGCAAGACTTAAAGCAAAGACACCCTTCCCTGTCCTGGGGCTTCCAATACAGGTATGCAGAGCAAAATCAGTAACTGTCCGTTGAGGAATGAAGGTCAGTCCCATCCTTCTGCAATTACCCTCGCCCAAAAGACCAATCCCTTGAGTGTGTGATTCAGGAGAGATGATTGGATCCAATAAGTTCACAGCAGAGATACTGTACATGTATACCGTGTTGCATACATACATATCTGCAACACACTGGACCCCAACAGATCGCCATGCTAAAAGTGCTCCATGGAGACCTGAAAAATTAGTGCAGGGATTTCTGTCAGTCAGAAAGGCGCCCAGGAAATGCCACACCTTGGGGTCTCCCAGGGAACCAGGGCTCCTCTGCCAAGCTGCTCAGAGGAGAAAGACTCAGCTCTCGCCTCAGAGAGAAGGGCGAGCATCAGCAGCTTTTCCTGGCAGTGCCCCAAAACAGCAACGGGGCAAAAGGCAAAGAAGACTTCACTGCACACCCCTCCAGCCAGCGTCATGTCCCTGCACCAGGAGGTCTCAGGAGACAGAGAGGTTTTTTGCTCGTTGCTTCTTCACCACTAACGATGGCATAAAGGTCTTCCTGAGGGGACGACATGGAAGGTCCCTTGACTCAACTCTGTGAAAAAGGAAAGGAGGCCTTAGACTAGGAGAAGGAAACGAAGGTAACAACAGCCCAGAGTGGATCGGCATTGCGTATCTGCGGTGGGGAGCCTGGGGAGGGTAACTGACATGATGCTTCTTCCTCCTGGGGAATTATTCAGTGTAACTGCCTACCATCATCCACTGTGGAGTCCTTTGTCTGTGTACCCCCTGCCACACACACATACACACACACACACACACACACACCTTGCCCACCAGCAAACATGGGAAGGTGGCCTAAGTTTCAGCCTTGGGAGTTAAGGTCTTGCTGGGATGGCCTAAGGAGATCCCCCATATTCTAGTACTGGCTCTGCCACTGATTCATCATGTGGCCTCAGGAAAGCACCCGCCCCCCTTTTCCTGCGCCCCCTCCCCCAACCTCCTCATCTGTCAATGGGGAGTTTAAACTACTTCCTGTTTCTTCCAGCACCCTCCCCAAGACTGTTTATGTCACTCAGATTTCAGAGGGACGAAGAGAACTAGGAGTACAATCTCTCATCCTGGTCCATCGGGCTCCACCCTCTGCCCTAACTGAGCTGGGCCACAGTACCCACCTGAAAGCAGGGCCATTAGGAGGGGCAGGAGGCTCAGGGTGTTGAGGGCTCTTCCAGCGAATCCGATTGAGAAGGACCTTGACCTTATTCCAGTGGGAGAGTTCCCGCTGAGCAGAGAATAAGGGGGTCACCACAGAGCCCCACCCCACAACATACCCCATACTACCAGAGGCAGCTGTCACCACAGTCCGCAGAAGTCACCTGCTCCAAACAGGAATCCTCTCATTTTCCCAGAGTTTCTGGCCTTTAGGGTATCCACACAAGCCAACCACCCGCACCTCCACCTGTCACCTGCCCCACACATATCCATCACCTACCTTGTGACTCTGGGAGGACTGAAAGGTGTGAGCTGGCTCTGCTGGGACTCTGGACAGCCTGAAAGGGTTGGCACGGGGCACCCCTACCTTTGGGAGTGAAGCTCTTTTTTCACCTTCAGAGAGAGAATCGGGTTACCCAGGGCCAAGAACAGGAGCACACCCACCAAGCCCAGAGCTCAGGGGGTCTGCCTGGGGCCCTGGGCAGGCAGAGCACAGAGAGAGACACAATGGCCCCTTACCTGTCTCCGGAGTCTGGCTGAGCAGCTTCCATGACCCCCGCACCTCACTGCCCGGGGCATGAGAGGGTGGAGGTGGAGGGGCCACAGTCGACTCCTTCTCTACAGGGCCCTGCGCACAGGAGAGAAGGGCAGTCAGAGCCTGAGCAGAGACCTAGGCTGTTCTGAAGGAAGCCCTGGTGCCAGGGGTCCACCCACTCACGTGCCCACCCACTTGCCTGGCTGCCACATGGCTCGCTCACCCCAGGGGGCCTCTGGGGTTGCAGTTGCAGGTGCAGTTGCTGCAGCCTCGCCATCTGCTCCAGCACCAGGCACAGGTGTTCCAGGTAGTGAAGACCCTGCCCGGGAGGGCAGGCCCCGGCTTCAGGCCCCATGCCCCTCCCCTGTAGGGCAGAGTAAGGGAGGGGAAACTTGGACTCAGTCAGACTCCCACCCTTGGCAGCCATCAGATGGGAGCAGAACAGGCAGGGAAAGGAGGATCATGCAACCAATGGCCTCCCAATGCCCAGCCAGCCGTGGTGCCGGGCAAACCTCATACCTGCCCACCTCCGCACAGCTGGGAGTGGGGTGAGGCCAGGAGCTGAGACACAACCCATGATTAGGGACAGAAATGCCCCACCCCAAGAGAGCTCCAGGGAGAAGAAATGGGGAGCCCCAGCACCCCCCCCCCCCCCCCCCAGTGAAAGGGCCATCGCCATCCCACTCTTCACCCAGCCTGAGAGGGGCCACTCACCACCTCTGCTTCTCCCAGGCCTGACTCTAGGTCAGTTTCTGCGTTGGTGGCCCCCTGGTCCCTTGCTCCAACAGGGGGCATTTCATACTCAGGCTTCCTTGTAGGCTTCCGGGAGCGGTGGTGGTGTCCCCCCCCCCCGCGCCCCAGTGAAAGGGCCATCGCCATCCCACTCTTCACCCAGCCTGAGAGGGGCCACTCACCACCTCTGCTTCTCCCAGGCCTGACTCTAGGTCAGTTTCTGCGTTGGTGGCCCCCTGGTCCCTTGCTCCAACAGGGGGCATTTCATACTCAGGCTTCCTTGTAGGCTTCCGGGAGCGGTGGTGGTGTGACAAGCTGGCAGGTGAAGTCGGGAGCTGGCTGGACCGCTCCAGCACCCGCTCTAGCTTCTGGCTGGCCAGGAGCCGGCCCCAGTGGGCAGAAGGCTCCATGGGCAGGGCCAGGGGCTCAAGGCTCCCCACGGGCTCAGAGTCCAGGGAGTCCTGAGAAAGGCGTGGAGAGATGGCCCAGGAGCTGTCCCCAACGGCCATCTCCACTCCCGAGTCCAGGAAGGCCAGTTTGGGAAGCGGCACCTGCGTCCGGAGACCTTTCAGCTCGCCATCCCCCTCCCAGGAGTCCGATGAGCACTCTCCGCAGGCGTCCGGGATCCGGCGGTAGGAGCTGGTGACTCCAGGCACTACACACCCTCGTGCCAGCTTCTCGTCAGCCCCACCTGCAAGGAAAGGGATTCGGGCCGGGCAGGCTGCCCCCACCGCCCCTGCATTCCTGGCAGCTGAGCGCATTCCGCGGGGAGG